GCAACCTTGGTGTTATCAGCACGATGCTCTAACCAACTGAGCTAACCGGTCACCCCGAAATGGATTCTTAATCAACATTTCTACATCGTTTGTAAAATCCTTCCTCATAAGGACTCAGATCTGCCTGGCACTCAGGTGCCCAAGTGCAGGGGAAAATTCCCCCACACTGTTCCCTGACCTGCTTCATGTTCCAAATGGGAGACCAGGTGGGGTTCGCTTGGTTGAGGTCCTGGTCACTGGGAAATGGGAGGATGCATGACGTAAGGGAGCGGTACCAGGACTTTGCATGAAATGGTGCGTGCTTTGGTTTGCAGGGGTTCCGAAGCTGAGGAAGTGAATTTCTCACGAATGCACTGAATCTCCACTTTCCCCATGAATGCACTAAAACTCTGTGCTCCACATCCACTCACTTAAGGACCCACCAAAGGCATTTAACCATGAAGTGAATAAAAACGTAACTCAACGAACAGATTTCTAGTTCCATTGGGGAAGCCCTATGCCCACCACAGCAGCAGCCGTATTTCTGAAACTTAACAAGCGGGGTTCCATTTCTCAACAGCCTCCGGTAGCCTAGGAGGTGCCTGACTCGCCTTCTTCTCATCCCATGATGGAATGCAGGAAGGGGCATCCTTACCTATGGAAGCCAGGTTCCTGTAGTTCTCCAGCATCACATCTCGGTAAAGGTTCCTCTGCTCACGGTCTAGCAGGGCCCATTCCTCCTTGGTGAAGTTCAATGCCACATCCCTGAAGGTCACCAGGTCCTAAAAGCACATACCCATTTTGTCCCCTCCCAAAGATATGTTGAAACCCTAACCCCCAGGACCTTGAATATGACCTGATTTGCAAGCAAGACTTTTGAAGATATAAAAGAGGTAAGGCAGGGTCATACTGGAGTAGGCTGGGCCCTAATTCAATGACTGGTCCTCCTGAGAAGAGGAAATCTGGACAGACAGATAGAGGGAAGGCCACAGGACAGTGGAGGTGGAGACTGGAGTGATATGTCCACAACCGAAGGAACGCCAAGGAGAGGCCTTTGCAAGTTGTGTATAAAATTGTCCCACCTCTAATTTGAACGCAAATGAGGCATGATTTACCAAAATTTTCTATGCATCCACCCCTTGATGTAGCATTTGCACTGATGGGATTATAAAAATACCCTGGCCAAAAAGCCGAATGACATATACATATAATTATGTATTGAAGGTGATTTATAACAGCAAAAGACTGGAAACTACCCCAAATATTCAATAACAGGGATTGCTTAAAATCTATGCTGCATCCGCATAACAAAGAACTATAGAGCCTATAAGAATGAGTAAGATCTCTTCTACTATGGATACAAAGTGGTATCATGTGGTCTCCAGGTTATATTTTATATTTTCAGTAAAAAGAAAAATAAAATGGGGCCCAGGATATGTACTGCAAACCAGACTTATCAGTAAGAAACAGAGTAGAGAAGAGATAGAAGTAAGGCTTGTCTAAATATAACCTTGTTATATAGATTTTAATTGGGAACCATGTAATGATGACATATTCAAAAATAAGAAAAAAGCCCCTAAAATGGAAAAACTGAAATAAATGAAGCTTATATCAAGCTGGCAGGTTAATCACCAAGGGTAAAATGTTAAGTAAAGGAACTCCACAACTTTAGCGTGTAAGATTCCATCATACAAAAAAAAAAAAAAAAAAAGGGAACCAGACCTCTCACCAGGTGGCTTTACTGCAGAAAGTAACATTGTCACTGCTTCTTACAAAAATTTTATACCCACTGCAGGATCAGACAGAGAGGGATTATGTTAATGTTAGGAAGCAAGCTCTTTAGTCTAAGAAGAAAGATTCAAATATAAAATAAAAACATTTTTAAAAAGCCAGCTTTGTGATAGAGTATCAGCATGATCCTGTGACCAGTCTGTGCTAAGAAAAACGGTTAGAATTAATAAGCAGGAAGCAAGAGAAACGGCTGAGCCAGGAGCAGGAAATATAGGAGTCAAGATATCTTGTGGTGCCAGAAGGCAGAGAAACCGTCCTAGACTCTAAGAGGATGTAGAGGCCAGCTGCGAGAGATGTCATACCTGATCTAACTGCAGTTTTAACCTCTCCCAGAAATGTAATCTTGATCAACCAATATGCAATTTCCTGAACAAGCACCACCAGGAAGGTAATCTGTCACATGGGCCCTCTCCATCCCTCTTTGAAGGAAGAGGCAGTCTGCTTTATAAATCCCGTCCCATTCTCTTCCCCCAAAGAAAAAATGACCCCGCCCCCCCAAAAAAACCCTTTCTTTCCATTTGTCAATAGCTCCCTTCCCCACCCAACCCTGCTTCCTATAAAAACCTCTCACTTTGTACAACCCTTTAGAGCACCCTTCTAGTTGCTAGATGGGGTGCGGCCCAATTTATGATTCGCTTAATTAAAGCAAATTAGATCTTTAAATGTACTTGGTTGAATTTTGTTTTTTTTTTTTAACACAGTTAAATAGGAACTCCTTCTATTTGAAAGATTTCATTTCAAAATTCTAGGGGCACAAAACAATCTGTGTTCTTCCAGCCGGAATAGTATTCCCTCATCTTCTTAAGAAATATACCTATTCCATTTCTTAAGAAATATGCAACCTAGTGTGGTATCAAAAAATTCACATATTGGGCCGGCCGAGTGGCGCGATGGTTAAGAACTGGCTTGGGATGCCAGAGGGCCCCGGTTCGGATCCCACATATGAGGGCCAGTGACACTGCCCTCCACAGCTAAGATGCTGAACAACAGCTCAACCTGGAGCTGGGCTGCCATGAGTTGCTGGCGACGGTGTTGGCTGCAGCCCCTGCTGCAGTGGGTTGCCATGGGCTACCGTGTGTAGCCAGCAGCCAGTGTGAGCGGCCAGCAGCCGCAGTGAGCGGCCGTCCGGAAGCCGGCGACTGATCTGCCTCTCCCGGGAAGAGCGCAATGATGGTGCCAACTTGGGCCAGTGAAGCAACGTCCTCCACAACTAGACTGAAGAACAAAACGACAGCAACTTGTCTGTTCCCCTTCCCCCAATTCCCCAGCACTGTTCCCATCCCCCCAATTCCCCAATAAAAATCTTAAAAAAAAAATTCACATATTTATGCTGGGTCCTAAGATCCCCTGGTATTCACTACTCCAGAGCTCTCATTAACTCAGGTTTTTACAAAACAAAAAGAAATATGACACAAATAATTACAAAGTTATTAAATGCTGGGGCAAAACTAGATTTTTTTAAAAAAGATTTTTATTGGGGTATTGGGGGGAAGGGAACAGTGCTGGGGAATTGGGGGAAGGGGAACAGACAAGTTGCTGTCGTTTTGTTCTTCAGGCTAGTTGTGGAGGACGTTGCTTCACTGGCCCAAGTTGGCACCATCATCGCGCTCTTCCCGGGCAAGGCAGATCAGTCGCCGGTTTCTGGACGGCCGCTCACTGCGGCTGCTGGCCGCTCACGCTGGCTGCTGTCTACACACGGTAGCCCATGGCAACCCACTGCCACAGGGGCTACAGCCTACGCCGTCGCCGGCGACTCATGGCAACCCAGCTCCAGGTTGAGCTGTTGTTCAGCATCTTAGCTGCGGAGGGCAGTGTCACTGGCCCTCATATGTGGGATCCTAACCGGGGCCCTCTGGCATCCCAAGCCAGTTCTTAATCATCGCGCCACTCGGCCGCCCCAAAACTAGATATTATAGGCAGCCCACAAATTGTGAAATGATGTGTAAATCAACCCCGCTATCCATCAGGTGGAGATATCAGACTCAGGAGACACTGGTCACAAAGTCAAAAAGGAGTTTTTGTATTTTTTTTTTCTTCTTCATACTGTTTTTTTTTTACCCACTAAGAAACCTTGTTCTCTAAAAATCATAGCTTACCCAAAACGCGGCTGTTAGATATCAATCAGATCAGTAAGAAAAGAACATCCCGTTTTTGCCTGGGGCATGGAAGTCACACTGACAGAGTAGCCAGCAGCTTCAGTCTGCAATTTGCAGAGTTTCTGATAAGGGGTTTGGGATGCAGCATTCCACAGCTTATCGAGTTTGTGGTTTCCAAGGGAACAGCCAGGCCAGACGATAAGCCCTCCGCACACAGCTCAGCCTGAGCGTATCTAAGCACATTTAAATTAACCTTCCTCCTCGATCTTATGATCTCAGCCCTTCCGCTATCTGGCCGGTTCCTCTGGGGTGCAATCTCCCTGCTTGCAACAAACCAATACAACTGGGGCTCCAGTTTCGTCCCTAGTGATCTCAGGCACATTAGCTTGGGACAACCGGGAACAAAGAAAAAGAAGGCGTAATTAATTCTGGGGCAGCTCAGGTCAACAGACAGAAGAAAACCATATACATCTGGCAGATGAAACACACCCCCACCTGCGCCGGAGATTCCCGCCAACCAGACCTCCCCAGAGTACACGAACGACAATTAATGCAACTTGTTCAGACCCTGGGGTTTGCTCCTGACAATTCCCCTGCCTCTCCCTTCAACTTGGCCTTTTATAAACTTCCTCCACCGCGGTCTCAGTTCACAAAAATGAAGAATGTGCCCATGGGACCAAACTCCAACGGCGAAGCAAGGACCCAACGACAGCCTCTCTGACTGACTGGAATTTTCCAGCTCATCTTAATCACAACTCCATTACTTTCAAGGATTCAAGTAAAACAGCCCCCCGTAGCAGTGTCCTCGCCCCTCCCCCAGGGTAACGGGGCGTTTTGCAAGGTTGCAGCGCGGGGAGTGCCCCCATCCCCCCGAAAGGTGAAGGGCGCCTTCTGGTCGCAACACATGGGCCGCTGGGGGCTCTCCTTCTTCCCGGCGGAGAATAGGCTTTTGCAGACAGTTGCTCTCAACTCCTCTGAACCGTCCCGGCCCACCCAACCCCGCATGCCCGCGGTGTGCACTTGTGCAACAACCCGGCAGGCACACTTACCATTTCACCAGCACCAGCTTCTGGACGGGCGTCTGTGGCTGGCGCAGCCCAAGCGCTCATTCCAGATATTGAAGGGTTGCAGAGCTGCAGCCGAGCGATGGAACTGTACAAATAAGAATAATCAAATAAACCAATAAAACTACTGCCCCCGCCTCACCCCCAAAAATCGAGAACAGAGATGCGTCCTGCCCAAGCACTCTATACCTGCTTCCAGAACCCCTCCTCAGAATGGACGGGTTAAGAGGTTAAGGGGAGGAGCCAAGCAGAGAGGGGACCCGGGGACCCACACCCTAGCCCTCCTGCAGAACCCGACCTCTGGGAGCCCAGGGTCTGACTCCACCCCCAGCAGATTTTTGATTTTCATTTCCTGCAGGACTTCCTCCCCAGACATTCCTGATCCTTGGAGGCAGGGGACATTCCAGCATAGGTCCTGCCTCCCACTTTTTGTCTTTCACTGTCCCCTGCACAACTGCAAGTTCTCAGGCTTAGTACCTTGCCAGGAAGAACACTCTGGAATAGCCCTCCCTCACAGGCTTTCCGTATTTAATCTAAATGCCTTCTCCACAGGTTTTGTTTGATGAGCCCCCAGCGGAGTCTCTCAGCGGCTGAGCTACTCAGACTATCAGGGACAACAGATGAGATGACATCCTGATAATACACCTTACTTCATTCTGATAGCAAAACAATTTTACTCTTAAAAACAACTTCATTTTTGTCATAAACAAGTGGATTTGAAATCATATCAAACCAATGCACGATCATTTTTATGAAATGTCCCTTCACTTCTAGTAGTGCAATTCTACCCTAAATCTTACATTGTTTAATATTAATAAGCACCTTGTTAAAAAGCAAAAGTCAATCGAGTACAAAGACTTTGTTTAGAGCGGTTTTAGGTTTACAACTAAGTTGAGAGGGAGGTATAGAGATTTCCCATATACTCCCTATCCCCACACATGCATAGATAGACCCCCTCTTACCAACATCACTCACCAGTATGCTACATTTTCAACCAGAGATAAACCTACAGTGACACATTGTAACCACCCAGAGTCCACAGTTTACTTTAAGGTTCACTCTTTTTTTTCAAATTGGGGAATTGGGGGAAGGGGAACAGAAAAGTTGCTGTCCTTTTGTTCTTCAGTCTAGTTGTGGAGGACGTTGCTTCACTGGCCCAAGTTGGCACCATCATTGCGCTCTTCCCGGGTGAGGCAGATCAGTCGCCGGCTTCGGCGGCTCACAGGGGCTTGAGGGCCGCTCACGCTGGCTGCTGGCTACATACGGTAGTCCATGGCAACCCACTGCCACAGGGGCTGCAGCCTACTCCATCGCCGGCGACTTATGGCAGCCCAGCTCCAGGTCGAGCTGTTGTTCAGCATCTTAGCTGTGGAGGGCAGTGTCACTGGCCCTCATATGTGGGATCCGAACCGGGGCCCTCTGGCGTCCCAAGCCAGTTCTTAACCATTGCGCTACTCAGCCGGCCCTGTATCATTTTTTAATGCAGGAAATATTTAACAATAAATTTTTGGAGCAATTTCCATCTTTGTATTTTAGCAAGCAATTTTAAAATGAGAAATAGAGTCCACAGCAAAGCATGTATGGTGCAATTCTGAGTGATAGCTGCGATGGTTGGGTTACAATAAAACTCAGCGCGCTGCATTATGCTTGCTCTTTTGTGAATGTGAAGGAATTAAAACACACTACAAGCAGGAGGCTCCACAGGCCCAGGTGGAGAGTGAGCATGTTCTCTGAGGAGCTGCTCTGAGGTCAGATTAGATCATGTCCTGTGAGAATTTTCATCAGCTGAGTGAAAACTAACCTTGATCACTTTTCTACACCCAAAGTTGACTTTATGATTCGTTCAACTGGGGGAAATGGATGTCCCCAGGTGGAGACTTTGCACTCCTGGTCAATAAATGAAATGCATTTACCAAGAGAGTAATTTTGCATCCGGGAGAGTGATTTGTGGCTCCTCTGGGCTCATCAAAATGATCCAAAATAAACAAGGTCATGGAGACAGCAGGTGACAAGTGATCCACTGGGAGAAGTCCTGCCATCCTGTCCCTGATATACAGTCATTGTCAGTCAGACCCGGTGTTGGGAGCCATGCAGGCTGGCTTTACTGAAGCATAACTTGTTTTGCTTCTTGTTTTGCTTCTTTCTGCACCTGGAGGGTGCTTACTCAACCTTGAGGTATGTGGTGAGAATGGCCAGTTCCTTGGGAGACACAATAAGATAACTGGCTATCTGGGTTTATGGAAGAAAGTGTCCTGGGAAACTGATCCTTAAGTTTCTAGTAGATAGTGAAAGATTTACTTTGGAATGAGGTAATGCATATTTGTCCCTTCTGTTTTGCACATACCCTGGATGTATATATAATGATGGTGGGAAATAAACTCAGGGCTTCAGTATTCTCTGAAGTCCTCCCGGTAACTCTCTCTTCTCTTTTCTTAATCTTTGCTCCCTCCCTCAGGACTGTTCGACATATCGGCAGGTTCCGATAACCCGGCCTTTCCAAGATGCCTCAAGGTCATGCATGGGGAAGCCGACTGTCCTCAGTAAGGATCCTGGACACTCAGCCTTGAAAATGACAGGAGGTACAAAGACCTTTTTGAGATTCCCATTGTCATTCTAAGCTTCCAACACACACTTCAGTTTTTATCAGGCTTAGCCTTCTATTAATTTTCTGTTTGATAGAAGTGTATTGGATCTTCTTTCTCATATTACTGTGGCCATTTCTCTTTACTTCCATATATATTGATTTACTTTCTTCATTCTTTCATTCATTATATTCTTTAACATCTCTTTCATCTCTGTAATGCTGTTCCATTGTCTTCAATCAGTGTTGTTTCATTTTAAAACCGTATCACACTTTCTTCATTGTATTTTGACTTTTTATCTAATTATTAACAACTATTTAAAAATTCCACACAATACCCTTATTGCTTAATATCTCCCCTTTTATGTTTTTGTTTCTTATCTCTTCTTTATGCTCTATAACACAATTGATATTTATCTACGTTTGATATAATTTGACTCCAGTTTAATTTCATCACCCCTTTTCTAACCCTCTGTTCTCCTTGCTTTTGTTTTTCCCAACATAATTTTATTTTTTTATTATCATAGTTCAGGTGTACAAAACGGAACCCTCAAACATCATTCTATTTTTATAGATAATTCCCTTTATCTCAAACTATCATACATTCATTTTCATTTAAAAATACATTAATCAGATTAAGCCTAATTTATAACATTGTTTCCTATTAGAGGTTTTACATAAACTTGTCATATTCCTAATTTCGGCATAGTTTTATGTGTCACGTCCTGCGTGGCAAGGGCAAATGGGACACGAGAGGGGCGACGCAGATTGAATAAAGAGAGACAGAGACAGAAGTAATATTTAAGTGCAAGACCAAGGGACTCAGCCTTCAGAGAGTCAGACTGAGCCCCCCCACCCCCCATCGGGTCGACGCTTGGTTTTTATTGAGAAGTAAAACTGCTGTTGATCAGATTAGCATCCGTTTGAGGTCTGTGCCTCAAAGCCTTATCTATTAACATATCCATTATGTTCCAGCATATGCTATGTCTTCACATATCCACCACATAGCCCCAGGACACCTTGTTACTGTGTCCTCCCAGAGGAGATTAACTGTTAGCATTCCAATAGGTCCCAATACACCTTGAGACACTCCCCAGAGGGAGTCTTATCGGCCTCTGGTCATACCGAGGCTTTTATCTCATAGCTAATGGGATTAGAGGCTAAATGCAGGGGGACGTGTTTATAGAATTCGGCTGTCAGGCAACATTTATGATATTTAATGGCATCATTTTAAAACTAGTTTTATGCTGGCATAGAGAAATCCAAATGATTTTTATACTGACTTTGCTTTTAGTAAACTTGAAAATTGCTGTTAATAATTCTAATAATTTAGACAATGATTCTTTTGGTTTCCTCTTACAATTTATATAATTTTTCAATGATGAAATACTTTCTTTCCAAGTATTATAAATTTTGCTCTCCTTTTTACTATAAAGCTCAGGAAATTAAAAAATGTGATGAATAAATGTGGCGATGGTACATTTGAAAGGAAAATCTTTCAAAATAACATTTAATGTGACACGGTTGACATTGTAGGTATTTTTCAGGGCAAGTTTCTATTGCTACATTACTAAAATTTTATATCATAAAAACATGTTGAATTTTATCTCATGTTTGTGCACATACTGAAGTGATCATATCTCTTTGTTCCTTTAGTCTACTAGTGTGGGTAATCATACAGATGACATGCCAAATATTAGACGTACCTTTCACGTTTGAATAATTCTGTGGCCAAGTGCTTGATTCTTTTTAGATAGTGTGAACACAAGTTTATCATATTTGTATAGACGGTTTTCCATTGAGTTCATGAAATCATCTTGTAATTGTCATTTTCCTACTGTCTTTGTTATGTTGTACCACCAAGGTTATGCTAACCTCTTAATGTGATTACTGGAATGTTCTCCCTTTTACTATCCTTAGCTATTGTTTGCAGCTATTATTTTTGTCTGGTGTGTTTGCCATACTTCACCATGAAGCATTCTTTAAATTTTCTGAAGGAACAAATTTTCCCCCGTATTCAATTTCATCATGAGGAGCATTGCACATTCATGACTTTCTACTATTCCAGTATCTTTTTGTTTTTTTAGTCAGTTAAGTCTTCTAGTATTCCCCCATATCTCCTAAAGTTCCAAATTTATTAGCATAGTTAATCATAGTATCATGTTATGTTCTAATGTTTGTAACTGCTCCACTGCTGTCCCTTTAACACTTTTAGTCCTGATATTATTTGTGTATCCCTTTAGGAAAATATTGCAGTATCACATAGGTTTGTTAACTGATTTATTTTTGAAGGAACTGACTTTTGATATATTTTTTCTTTTCATATCAGCATTGTTATCTATTCATTTTTGCTTCACTTCTGTCAATTTCATTAAGGATTAATTTGCTGTTGCTTTTCTGTTGTCTCTTATTTCTTTATATTATTTTTTCATTTGAATTAGCAATTTGAATTCTACCTTCTTTATAAACCTAAATCTGTATCCTAAGGTTTTCAAGAATTCCTGGAATCCAGTTTCTGGAAGTGACACATCTTGGCCTGAAATACAGAAGAGCTGAACATTTTCTTCATATTGAACTGTCAATTATTATATTTGTCCATGGGCTCCATTATTTATGATTTTACAGTATAACCAAATTTGTTTCATTGGAAACCTGTTGACCTAATTTGAAACATCAATAAGATTATGTTTCCAAGTGATGTGATTTGGGGGTTTTTCTCCATTGCTCAAATTTGTGTAGGGCTCATGGGCAACTCATTGTTCTTTACGTTATATATGTACACCTTTTTAACTCAGTCTTACCTGAAAAGGCCCATGGATTTAGTCTTCACACACCTGACATTGGTCTATGTTTTGACCATCATGTTCAGGTTGATACCAGATACCATGTCATCCTTAGGAGCAAGACATTTTCTGGATGATGTTGCTTGTAAGGCAACAATGTACACATACAGGGTTACCCGGGGTCTTTCCATCTGTACAGCCTCTCTCCTGAGTGTATTTCAAGCCATCACCATCAGTCCCAGTAATTCTAAATGGGCATGGCTTAAACCTAAAATCTCTACCTGCGTTTTCCCCTCTTTCCTTTTCTTCTGGATCATCAAGATGCTTCTTTATACCAACGTCATCAAAGAGCTCATAGCCAGCACCAATGTCACAAATGTTTCTTCTGTGTATTCTCTAGTGTATTGTCAGACTAAGCAGCTGAAACCCAACTATTCACGGATATTTATAAGTGCCATGATTTTTCACGATGTCTTCTTTGTGTTCCTCATGATGTCATTCAGTATCTACATGGTGAATCTCCTCTACAAACACCGTCAGAGATTCCAGCATGTTCACAGCCCCAGCCTCTCTTCCCATCTATCTCCTGAAATCAAAGCCACCCATACTATTCTTTTGCTGGTAAATTGCTTTGTTTTCTGTTATTTCTCAAACAACTGCATTACCCTTTATTTGTTATGTAAACCTGAGAAAAACCCCAGACTGGAGAGAATTCCTGGGATTATTTCATCCTGCTATCCAACCATTTGCCCTTTCGTGCTGATGAAAAATCATAAGATTATTTCCAAATTTACTTCCTCCCTTTCAAGGATGAGAATTATCTTTTTTTCTCAAAGAACATTAAGTAGATGATGTGACACCCCAACTTCATTTTGGGGGTGTCTACATAATGATTCATTTGAGGAAAAATAATGCCATTAGTAATGTGTTTTGTTTAATTTTGAATCCTTTATTTTTATGGTCAAACTTTGGGGAAGCATTATCAATACTTAATCAATTATTTCAAAGCATGGTAAGAATTTTCAGAAAAGTACATGCAATATGTAAACATGTATTCATTATAAAATGATGCAAACCAACATGGTTTATATTTTCATAGGAAAACATACATATATTGGCAAGAATAAGGGAAAACACAAGAATGAGAGACATACAGTTCAGGATAGTGGTTACTTTGTGGGCTGTGAAAAGAGTGCACATAGGGCTTCATCTGAATTTATAATGTGTTAAGTACTAAACTAACTTCTGGAGCATGGGTCATTGCTTCATTATTTATATGAATTTTAACTTCAAAACATTTTATATATTGGTTTTAAAAGAACAAAGTGATATTTCTTTAATGTTTTCTCCAGTTTGATTCATGTATAACTGACACATAACATTGTACACAACTGTACACAAAATTGTGTACAATCTAATGATTTGATATTCATATATGCTGTGAAATGATTATCATCTCAGGTTCATTAACACAGCCATCACTTCACAGAGTTAACATTTTTTTGGTGTGGTGAGAATGCTTAAGATCTACTCTCTTAACAACTTTCAAGTAGATAATACAATATTATTAACTGTAGTTACCATGCTGTACATTAGAACCCCAGAACTTATCTGTCTTATAACTGAAGTCTTGTACCCTTTGACCAGCATCTCCCCACCTCCCCCAACCCATAGCTCTTAGTAATCACAATTTTATTCTGTGTTTTGTGTTTGTCAAAATTTATGAGGGACCTTAACCAAGACAGGAATCAGGAGGGTCTGTGGGAGGAGCTCTCACACCCTATGTCACACCCTATGTTGGTCAGGAACGCCCTACAGGAGGAACTCTATAGTTACAACAGCACTCTATGGTTATAACAGCCCGTCCCCTTAACGTCCACTTTTCCTTTGAAAAGAACTTCCTTCTTGGTCCCTTGGACTTGCACGTGGCTGGCCATGGCAGCATGTACCAGATTGTAATCCTTTTCTTTTCCTCAATAAATCCTTTTTGCTGATGGAATACCAGTTGATTTTTTTCCCCCACGTTCAACATATTTGGGAACTTGTCTGGGATTCAGAGAAGACCCCAGTAGCTCTGGGGCTGGGAGCAGACAGCAGTTGGTACCCATGGAGCTATTCAAGCTCACCGTCCCCACCTCACACCTACTTGGGGGTTGAGACTATGTTTTCTCCTGGATCTGAGCATCTACTTTTAGCCTCTGAAGCTCTCTGGGCTTGATTTGGGAACTAGTTAGAGGTTTCTTTTTTTTCATGTTAAAGAGCTTAGTTATCTGTGAGTTCTCACTGTGGCCTGACTCTGTAAGAGATTGGGCTGTTTTGGGGGACCATGCTAGCTGCCGACTTGATTCTTTGGAACTGGGAAGTTTGTGCTGGTTGTCAGTTCAACTCTGTCTGGAACCAGACTGTCCCACTGAAACTGTATTATTCAGCTATTGGCCAGCCTCTTTGGGGAACAATATGCCTCTAGTATGCCATTGGCCCAACCCCCCTGGGATAGGACTGTCTAAGGCAGCGGTTCTCAACCTTCCTAATGCCGCGACCCCTTAATACAGTTCCTCATGTTGTGGTGACCCCCAACCATAAAATTATTTTCGTTGCTACTCTA